TTCTTCATCCCAAACTACTGTTTTAATTGCCTAATTGGGTCTTTGGAGTTGTTTTTTAATGCGTTATCACTATCCCTTCAAACCTATGGCCTCCTGTTCTTTGTATCACCTTTCTCTCAAGGTATATTTCTATTGTTGTTAGCTTCCAGATGCAGCTGTTCTGAATTATTTGCCATCCCTGTTTAGCAGACTCTTTATCGTTCCACCTATTTTTTTGCTCTATCCAGACAGATCCTTCCAGCTGAACATTCTTACTGCCAGAGAAGAGTATAAATTTTTTTTACTATTCTTTTCCCAGGCATTTCTCATCTTTACAGTCTATCATACCCACATCTTTTGTGTCCAGTCAGAGCACTTAGATGTTATATGGCTTGTTTGGGGACCCTATGTACCAGTTTTTTATTTAGTGGGATCCTGCAGTGTCACTGGATTTATCACTCATTACATTAACCAGGGGACTTCGGGAGTTGATTCCTATAGCCTATTCGTGGTTATCTGTTGTAGATCGGAATATACTCCACATCACTCCATATCAGATTCGGCATCTATCAATGTCATTGTCAGCTCATCTGAACTGTTCTCTGGAGGACATTTTGTGGGCTGGAATGTGGACTTTTTCCAACACTTTCCTAGCTCATTACCTTCATGATCTGGCAGTTTCCTCTTCTGTGTGATTTTGTCCCCCCCCCTTCCCCATGGCTGTGTTGACAACAATTGCTAGATTTTAACAAGGGGGTGTGTAACTTTCTTACGTGATTAACAGTTTTTCTTTTTTCTTCTTGGGTTTACTTTATTTTCTTTGGATCCCACTCAGTGGTGGGTGTTGCCCAGTCAGGTGTGCTTGTATTTTTTTCAATTCCGCACTAGCAACCTTTATGTCGGTTCATGGTTGCAACAGGATCTGTCGAGATAAGGTGCTCCATAAAACAATCTAGATGCAATTCTGGATGGTAGTATTATCTCACAATACAAATCCAATGGACCACTACTCATGGACTATCATGAGTAAAGTGTTAGGGCCAGTGTAAAGTTTCACAAATTAGATATTGCCGAGGGCAGTCGAGTGGAGTATAAAGACTGGAGCAAGCAAACATGATGTTTAGATGGCAAAGATGAAAATCGAGAAATAGCTACAAGTTTCAGCGAGGTAAATATGTTTGGAAATACATTTTCAGATTAGGAAAATGATAACTTAAGGAGTGTAACACAGTTTGTTGATAACAGGTGATTTTTAAACCTACATATACCATTAAAGTGTGTAATACAGTTTGTTGATAACAGGTGATTTTTAAACCTACATATACCATTAATGAGTGTAACACAGTTTGTTGATAACAGGTGATTTTAAAACTACATATACCATTAAAGTGTGTAATACAGTTAATGGTATATGTAGTTTTAAAATCACCTGTTATCAACAAAGGTGTGTAATACAGTTTGTTGATAACAGGTGATTTTAAAACTACATATACCATTAAGGTGTGCAATACATTTTGTTGATAACAGGTGCTTCCTAAAACTACATTTACCATTAAGATGTGTAATACCAGTTTGTAATGTGTAATACCTAACTTATAAATAAGAAACTTGTGATGTTAATAATTGTTTTCTTTGTATTTTTTTCGGTCTAGAGAAAGAAGAAGAGTTAATGCTTGATAGTCCAGTTAAGAAGTATAGTTTTTGTTGTTGAAGATTACAAATACTCAACATTAGTCAGTGTGTAAATATATATAAAGTAAATTTGTGAGAAAGCTAGTATGTGGGAACAGTTAATACACAGCATACTTATATCATTTAACATGTGGAAAAATTATAGACCAGAAGTAAAGTGATTAAATTAACTCTTACGGTTTTAATTCATAGTACAAAATTTTTTTTTTTAAATGCAAGATGCAACTAACAACAGCTAAGACTAACTTGCAGTACTGACCTAAATCTGACATGATTGAAGTGACAACTAGCAGTTTATTTCATGGTAAAGTCTATGCTTTACCACTCAATACAACTAACAACAGCTAAGACTAACTTGCAGTACTGACCTAAATCTGACATGATTGAAGTGACAACTAGCAGTTTATTTCATGGTAAAGTCTATGCTTTACCACTCAATACAACTGACAGCTAAGACATTCTCATGATAGAAAATAGAACTGAGTGCTAATGTTTTAAAAGAAAGAGTGCTTTGATGTAATTAGATGATGTTTAGGGAGTTCTTCAAAGAATGTCCTACTTTTTGACTCAAGATCTAGTAGTTTCACTGTCAGGTTGATGTACGATTTCATAATCTAATGACAACTTTTTAACACAGAATTTAAGAGTATAAAACTTGTAAAACATTTTAAGACAAGAAAAAACATGCATAGGGAGCATTATATTTTAAGAAACTAATATTTTTAGAATTTGTGTTTTAGTATGGCATTGTTAATTTTCATCTGCAAACTTTTTAGTGTTAAATTTAAAACTTTTCCCTAGTTTTTATATTTCTCTCTCTTTTTTTTTTTCAAAGAAATTCTGAAAATATACAACACTTGTATTTGTTGTTTTGGCTAGAAGTATTATATTTAAAATATTGTTTGTTAATTTTTGGATTATTGTATTTGTTCAACTATGAGAGAAATTATCTGTGCTGACTGCAGTCAGCAGTGATGACATTCTGGAGAAATCTACTTCTAAAAGTAAATTTCATTTAAAAGTTAGCAAAGGTTACAAATTCTCCATATCATTTGTCAATAAAATTAAAAACCAAACTGTTAAACTTAAAACAAAGGAATTTACAAGTACAAAATGGAAAACATGCTGACCAAAACAACTCCACTGAAATTTTAAACACTTAAAACAAAACAAAGAAGAACATTCCAGCTTTTGGCTGTTGTGAACACACAAAGGACGTTTTTTGGCCAGCTCTGTTTATGTTTTACCATTTTATTTTGGACAAATCAGTATCATAGAATTTAACTGTAAAATACCTAAAAGTAAGTTCCTTTTTTTTTGTTTTACATTTTCTTGGTTTTTTTGTTTTATTCCCATCTCTTAGGAAGTACTGAATGCAGTTGGAATGATCTGTTTTATATTTATTGACAGAAGTATTACTCTGTTGTTTTACATTAATGATGTTTTTAACTATTTATTACACTTACATACTAACCTTTCAAACCAGTTTTAGTTGGATACCAACTTTTAGGGTAATAGAAGATGTGATATCCATCTTTTCCCACTGTCTGGACAAACACTTGAATTTGTAGAGTTCTAAAATCTGAGCCAATTTTGATAGAATTTAGAAAATGAAATAAATTTCTGTAATAGCAGATTTCTGAAGTTGTATGCTAGTTTGACATCTGACAGATTTCTGAAGTTGTATGCTAGTTTGATATCTGACAGATTCCTGAAGTTGTATGTTAGTTTCACATCTGACAGATTCCTGGAGTTGTATGTTAGTTTGACATCTGACAGATTTCTGAAGTTGTATGTTAGTTTCACATCTGACAGATTTCTGAAGTTGTATGTTAGTTTCACGTCTGACAGATTCCTGAAGTTGTATGTTAGTTTGACATCTGACAGATTTCTGAAGTTGTATGTTAGTTTCATATCTGACAGATTCCTGGAGTTGCATGTTAGTTTGACATCTGACAGATTTCTGAAGTTGTATGTTAGTTTGACATCTGACAGATTTCTGAAGTTGTATGTTAGTTTGACATCTGACAGATTTCTGAAGTTGTATATTTGACATCTGACAGATTTCTGAAGTTGTATGTTAGTTTGACATCTGACAGATTCCTGAAGTTGTATGCTAGTTTCATATCTGACAAATTTCTGAAGTTGTATGTTAGTTTGATATCTGACAAATTTCTGAAGTTGTATGTTAGTTTGACATCTGACAGCCCAGATGGTGGTTTCTGTTTGGTTCACTTGTGACTTCTTTTGTTATACAGTGTCCGTTGTAAGAGCATGATTTTTTGAAAGGAATAGACAACAACATTTTGCATATGTTAAGTAACCACAGCTTAAGCTGTGACCCAGGATTTCAGACAAAAGCCTTGTTTATAGGTTTTGAATATCTGCAAATACTTTTTCTGTAACAATAATAATGCACTTTCCCGCACTTTGTAAGTGAAGCTAAATATGAAGATGTTAAAAAATATATATATGACATGTTGCAAGTGAAACAATACATTCAAGTTTGCTATTTTCTCTGGTGATAATGTTTGTGTGTACATGTCTTCAATGAATTTAATGACGAGCGTCTTTGGCTCTGTGTTTGAAATTATTTTGTATATTGTAAAGCTAGAATTTTAACTTAAGTAAAACAATATCTTGTGCTGTTTACATTAAAATGAGTGAAACCAAACTTCATGCTTTTTCAATTAATGCCAAAGAATTTTTCAAAACAAGATAGTTACCTGACATTGATGTAGAGAATTAGTCACATTTGTTTGCATTTTTTTGTATTAGTTCTCCTAATTATTAAAATACCTTTTTTGTACTTTGCGGTATCATGAAATTAAAGTACAGGCATTATTTACTTGTTGTGCTTTATGTCAAGTCATAACTTTTGTTCTGAAATTGGACATTTTATCATATAATTTATATATTGTAAATATTGTATTTCAGTTAAAGCTCAAGCATATTTTTAGAGAAGAAAAAATAATTTACTTACTGTTCATTTCAACCAATTATAATTTAACTATTAACAAATAATTGAAGTCAGTTTATATATTAATTTTTTTTAAATAAAGTTATCTTTCTAACATTATTTTGATATTTTGTTGTATGTTTTCTTAAAGTATCAGCGGTTCTTATCAAGACTTCCACACTACTTTTTTTATTAAAAATCAAACAAGACTTTGTTTCTTATTTAAACCAGTTAGCTAACAACCTTACACTGTGTCTATATTTAAAGCTGTTACCTAACTACCTTACATTGTGTCTATATATAAACAGTTACATAACAACCTTACACTGTGTCTATATTTAAAGCTGTTACCTAACTACCTTACATTGTGTCTATATATAAAACAGTTACATAACCTTACATTGTGTCTATATTTAAAGCTGTTACCTAACTACCTTACATTGTGTCTATATATAAAACAGTTACATAACCTTACATTGTGTCTATATATAAAACA